TGACTGTACCTCTCAACGGCCTGGGGTAAAGCGACTTCCTGCATTCCTACCCCTTGCTACTGCTGAACACCCAGGGAAAAAAATCAGTGGGTGAAGGCGGCATGGCTGGTGCTCCCTCAGTCTGGAGCTGCCAGCACTGACTTACGATTCAGCCTACAGGCAGGACCAGGGCCGCCGTCCCCTCTGCCCCCACCCAGCATCCACAGGGAGGTCAGAGTCGAGCTGATGGGAGGCTGTGCTGTACAGAAGCCCATCGAAGGCCTGGATTCCGGAGCCAGACTCCTGGGGCTTGAATGGGATTCTGCTCATGACTGTCTGAGACCCTCGGGCAGGTCATTCATTAACCTGCCTGTGCCTTGGCTTCCCCCAGACATGAAGAAGATCAAGCAAAATGGGCATTATCTTGTAGATGTCTCAATGTGTCTCCGACGCACTCTCAGGACAGGGCCCAGCACAGGGCACCTGTTCGAGGTGGTGGTGCTGCTCTCAGAGTTTTCTTTTGCTTCTCTGTTTTGATTCGACTCTAAGTGCCAAAGAAATTACACAACTCCTAGTAGCTGGAATCTCCCTGCTCTCAGGTTCTTAGGTTTACAAAAAGAGCTGTCTTGACAGGCAAGTTCCTGAAAACCTCTGTTCTATGTTTAAATCCTGATGCACATCTTTGCTAAACCCCAAAACCAGCCCAGGGTACTCCTTGGGCCTCAGGACTTCACGCAGCGCGACCAAGAAAAAAGACACTTCCCCGCTGCCACCAAAACCTCCTGGCCATTCATTCTTTAGAGAACAAGGCCTAGAAGTGTCCCTGGTACTGGAGTTGTGTCTACGGGTACCATGAAAGGAAAATAAATCTCAGGACCCCACAATCATGAAGCCAAAGGGAAGCATCAAGCTGGGAACTGTGTCAGCAAACCTGCCTTTCATTTTATTTCTAAATAAGATAGCTGCAAAGATTAAAAAGCTACAAAGCTCCCTCACAATTTGCGTACAAAGAGATCCCTTGTGGGCCTCCAGATCTTTCCCCTAAAACAGTTCTGTTGAATTTCACCCAGGCAATGTAAATGGATCATTTATCTCCACAGGGGTGGGACAAAAGAACTCAGCTCCTAACCCTCTGCTCGCCCGAGACAAATGTGTATCTGGCTGTTTCTTCTGCCCTATTATTTATGCAAAAATGCAGACTCACTGAGCCAGACTAAGGCGTAAATGATTATTCCTCTGCCTCCTTCTCACATGGAAATTGTGTATTCAGTGAAGGCCTCATCAGAGACTCAAAAGAATGCAACCCGTTGTCTCTTCTCTACCTATTGAAACCACCATTGCAAAGTTATAACTGAGACAGTGAAAGAGATCTGACCTAACTCCCTCCTGCTTCTAACCTCCAAGCTGTCCTTGTTCACTCCTGGGTGTAGGCTGAATGAACTCTGTGAGGAGCTTAGTGTCTAGTTTAGCTTTGAAACAAAGAAGATAACAGCCCTTTCCCAAAACAAGCCTTCTTCCCTGCCTGGAAATAAGATTGCCTTCGCAGGACTAACAAATTGGCCACAAGACTATAAACTATTGTTTAAGAGTCATGCAGCTAGAGGCCGCAAGATTCGGACCCTCCCCAGATTGCTCCTAGAGACAACCTCACTATTGTAAAACCTAAGATCAGGTCTTGAGATATTTTGCAGCCCCGCCCTCTATGGATCTGGTCTGATCATCTGGTCTTGTGGCCCCCACCCAGGAAATGACTCAGTGCAAGAGGACAGCTTCGACTCCCTGTGATTTCACCTCCAACCCAACCAATCAGCACGCTCAACTCCCTGCCCCCTCGCCACCAAATTATCCTTAAAACCTCCAGTCTCCAGATTTTTAGGAAGACTGATTGAGTAGTCATAAAACTCTGGTTTCCCACACGGCCAGCTCTGTATGAATTACTCTTTCTCTATTGCAATACCCATGTTGATAAATTGGCTGTATCTAGGCAACGGGCAAGGTGAACCCACTAGGCAGTTACGCTATGACCCAGAAGCCTCCACTTCAAATGGTCTCACCTTTGCCGACCAAACCAATGGACACCTTACCCATACTGATGGCTCATGTCTCTCTGAAATGTATAAAAGCAAAGCTGAACCCAGACCACCTTGGCCACATGTCATCGAGACCTCCCGAGGCTGGGTCACAGGTGCGTCCTGAACCGATTGGAACTCATCTCAGACGCCTTTGGGTCACCGTGTGCTCAGGGGTTTCATGTAACGCGTTCTGGAGTATATCTTATCTAGGCGCTCTCTGTTGTATCTGGCTGAGCGTGGAAGCAGGTTGCTCTGCCCAGTGGAATGTTCTGTCTACAGAAAGTCACCAACATGCCCCATTCTCCAAGGACACAAACACCTAGACGTGAAACCCCCACTGCACACCACAGGTGGTTCTTTGATGGGTGAGTGGGCGGGACTTGACAGCCATGGTTTCTCAGTCAACAGCTGCAGTGTTGGGATCAGGTTCCCAAGGTGGACCCTGCAAAGGCCAAGGCTTCTTAGGGAACGCACTGCTGAAATTGCTCTCTGCCTCCCAGTAGCCGGCCTCACAGACTCCCTCAACAATGCTTCTCAGACCTCGGCGGCATGAGAAACATCTGGAAGGGTGATTACAGTCAACCTTGGGGCCCCTCCCTGAGGAGTTCAGATTCAGCAGGTGCGAGGCCGGGCCTGAGAAGCTGCTTTGCTCACGAGCTCCCGGGTGCTGCTGCTGCCCCAGGGAACCCACTTAGAGAACCACTTGTCCAGCAGTGGGAAAGGCCATTCCTTCCACGAACTCACCGTCCAACTCAGAGGCGTGGAAAACTTTCAAAGGCCTGTCCGGCGGGGGGGTAACCTAGCCTCTCCTCCACCCCAAGGGGAATAGCAAGGGGGTGGTCTGTGACAGAGAGGAGCACAGGCAGCCTCCCTGGCCCGTGGGAAGGAGCTTGCTGGCTGCACAACGCAGAGGCAGAACGGAAGAGTGTGATGCTCAGGTGTGCAGCGTGAATTCTGATGACCAGTAACTGAATTAACAGAATTCAGGGTTATCTGCTAGGCTCTCTCAACAACTCTGGCCCAAGGGTAGAATCAACCCACAATTTCTCTCCCCTGTGGTCATCTGAACCCCAGGACCGCTGTGCCAGCCTGAGAGTCACAGCCTTGGCGGGACGGGAAGAGCCATGTGTCTGGGCCTGCGCGGCACCTCAGCGAGCAACGCGTTGCATTTGACGCCCGGATGAGGGGGAGGCCCTGCTCGTGGAGCTCCTTGAAGCAGCTCCTCGGCTCCCCCAGGCTGAGGAACCCCAACCACCCCCCACCTGCGTCAGAAGCTGCAGTTCAGGAAGCAGAGGCAGGTCAGAGCAGGCCCAGGACTCATGGCCGCGTCCACTCACAGGAAAAGCATCGCCAAGCACGCCGGGCGGGGAAGATGCTATTCTCTAGAATACCTGCATGCTGTCCAAGGTGTTCTGCGCGAAGAGCAAAGCAAGACAGTTACAGAAAGACGCCGTAAATAAAAGACGACACAATTCCCAGCACATCTGAATTGCCTTTTCTGTTTTTCGAACCAAAGCACGCTGCATTGCAACCGTCACCATGTTTGAAAGCATGCACCACCAGCAGCACGGGGTGACAGGTGACGGCGGGATCGTGGAGGACCGGTCCCTCAGAGGCGGATTGAAGCCACACAGGGTCACGTCAATGGGCTCCGGGGCAACTGGGGAGAGGGAACTACCTTTTCTGCTAGGAGATGATGCAGATTAAAGTGCAGTGGATAACTCAGGCCAGGGAAAGTCAATTATTTTCCAGGGAGATAAATGGCCATTTGGAGGTCTGTTTCTGTTCTCCCAGGTTATATATTTTCCTATTTGCTATTCATCCCACTCCTCCCTCCAGATAGTTATTAACTAATGGAGGCTTTCAGAAAATCCATTTTAATATATAGGATGATAATGATGAAACCTTTTCCTGTGGGAGGAATAGACTTTAAAAGGCAACGTAAGAGATGCACATAAGCCTGTTTTCAGTGGCTGCTGCTCCCCCGGGGACAAGGGACAAGGTCATTCCGAAGAGGGCAGCCTCATCCAATACTGGGAAACCGTGGCCTCTCTTAAGGGAACATTACCCGGAGGAGGCCACCCCAGGGCAGATCCACTCCTATGTAAATCTCTCCTTGTGGGGTGGTAAATTACACCATCCATGACTTCAGCAGGTGGGGGCCCCAGCTCACCACAGCCCATCCACTGTGCATGACGGATGCAGACAGCAGAGGCCTCAGGGGACCCCACAGCCCTCCCCGTCTGCCTGGCTACTCAGTCCCAAGGAGGCTGGCACTGGACCAGGAGCCAGGGACAGGGGTGAGCACTCCCAACACGCCACTCATGCAGGTGGGACACAGTGGTCGTTTCCTTCCCAAGGCCAGTGGGAAACATCTCTGGGAGGCAGGAGAAGGTCACTCACGCAGCGTTTGCGAGGACCACACCCGGGGAAGTGCCTCGGATGGCGCTGAGGACTCTGATTCCCCAGGCCGTCCTTACTCTGATCCTACAAATGCCTCCCCAGCATGAGTGGCATACCTAAAAATGGTAACCCAAGGCAGTTCATCAGGGGCCAGGGCAGCCTCTGGAGGGGCCACCTGACTTTCTCCCTGGGGAAATCAATTCGCAAGCAAGCGAGTGAGCCATGCCCCCTTGCCTTCCACCCAAGAAGAGCCAGCAGAGGACAGCAGACCACGTCTGAGACACACAATTCTGGGTCTGCATGTGTGGTCAAGGGAAAGCTGCTTAACCTCTCTGTGCCTCAGTTTCCCTGTAAGAACGGACATCGACCTGGCACCTGTCGTACTGGTTGCTTGTGAGGCCGACATGAGAAGATGCATGAACAGCATCTAGTAACTGGTGCACCAGGCTCACTTCATAAACATCATCTATTATTTCTAGCAGGTATCAACGCAACTCTCCCCAGTGTCCCCCACCCCCGGGCAGAAAGCAGGGGCACGCTCCTTACCTCTAGCAGCCGCACTGCACCTTCATGCTCCTTCTTAGCCTCAACCTGAGCCTTTTTTGAGGAAAAGAGAGAAAAGAGTAAATGTCCAAACGAGAAAGAAGATAATCGGATCAATGTCTGAATCACTGGGGGTGAGGGGTCATTCATTTTTATTCCTCTAATAGAGGAATTAAAATTATTCCCATTTGTTATTTATTTTAACTTTAATTGAGTTTCAGAAATACATGTGCAGGTTTGCTATACAGATAAATTGCACGTCCGGGGGCTGCCACAGATTCTTTCTTTCCCCAGGTGGTAAACTGAGTAGCAGAAGTATCCCTCCAGTGCCTCTGACAGCACCTTCGTCTGCCCAGACGTCCGATGAACTGCTTTGGAAACAAAACCTAATCCTGCAGACTTGACCCCCAATCAGCTCTAGGTTCCCGGAGACCTCCCCAGGCCCTGGAGGAGGGGCTGGGGCTGGGTCCTGAGCATGCAACAGGTCTTGGCACCTGCAGCCTGTGGCAGGGCCGCCCTCTTCAAAGCACTCGTGGCAAAGCCATCCGGATCCCACAGAATAAGTAACTTCACACATTTCGCTACAGAAATGTCTTGGGATGGCTGCTGCCCGGGCAAAGGGCAGATTCAAACACAGCTGAAATGGAACACTGTTATTTCTTGTCCTCACAGGCCTGGAAGTCCCAGCAGCATCATGACGGTAAGGATCTGTCGTGTTTGCCTGCCTGGCTTCAATGCCCTCCTCTCCTGGGATGAGCCTTTGGACTGGCTGGGGTCTGGCCCTCCCCTGTGCTAAGCACGGTTCTGGACCCTCAGCGACTGATGACCTGGGTGGCATGGGGCCTACGGAGGGCAACGGGCCTCTGCCTGAGAATGCTGCAGGAGCGGGAGGCTCCTTTCTACTGGACTTTGGCTTGGGAGGAGGTGAGGCTGGAGCTGCTGTAGCCACTTTGCCACCAGGAGGGTCAGGGCTGGACTGGCCGGGGACCTCCACAGGGAAACCAAGGCTGAAGCTGATCCAGAGGAGGGCAGAGAGCAGCCCAGTCCTGGTGATATCAGGGAGGCCTTGGATTCTGCTGAGTCTGAGGCCCGTAGACTTGAGCCCTGGGTCCAGCCATATCCGAAGTCAAATTTTCAGGGATGGGTACAAATACAATTTCCTGTCTAGGTTTTCTGTCACTCGAAACCAAGGGTGCTGATGAACATCATCCTCAACTGTGAAAGCAAGGGACACTTCCTGACGTGTGGGACGCCGGAGGTCGGATTCCTGAGGCTGTGACGAGACCGAGGAGAAGACAAACTGGGCTCCCGCCTGCAGCACAGTCCGCACCGTGCACCTCACGCCGGCGCCAGCGTCTCCCAAACGTTCCCCACGGAGCAGGAAAACGGGGATTTTTAAGACGCATGATTTTCTGACACCAGAGTGCAGCTACCTCTTAAAACATGGAGCACGAATAAAGAATCCATATGCTACTCTGCGACTTACTTTGGAGTTATCGGTTTCTAGAGAAATATTTCCTCTGTGCCTGGAGAATAATTAGTGATGGACGATTCAACATCATAAATAAGCAAGTGAACATTATCTTCACAGCTTCTACTTCTCACTCGCAAAATCCCGTGGGCTGAAAAGAGGGAAGAGCTGGCTTCCCCAGCCAAGGGGAAGTCTGCCATTCCCCAGGCTAAAAATGAAAAGTCGTCTGAGGTTTCCATAGAGTTCATTCATGTGCGTTCCATTCTCACATCTTCCCAATGAGAGTTTCAAGAGCTGGGCAAGGGACTGGAACGCAGCACGTTAATTACACCATTCTCGAATTCAGCTCAACCGCTGAAGGCCGAAAACTGTTCCTTTCAAAGCAAAAACCAGCAAGAGCAACAATAAATAACAAAATAGAAAAAGAGACAAACAAGCAGGGAACATACAGGGATTATATAAATGATGCCACCATTGACTCAGTTGAATCAAAGATAGTTTTAAACTGGCAGGATTAAAAAAAAAAAAAAATTCCAGCAGGCTGTTAAAACTCAGCCAAGCTGGCAGCACAACTTCGTTTCCAGCTTCAGATGAAAACCAGTGCATTTTTGCAGGCTACTTGCAAGCTGGGCCATTTGGGCAATCAGAATAGACTTAAAATTGGCAGCACTGAGTTCTTACAAAATCCAAGCGACAGCTTAAGCTAGGCTCATTTAGGGGCCAACACAGGGAACGTGCGACCTTTACGGAGAGTGGTTCCTGCAGAGCTGGGAGACTGGAGCTCCTGACGCTGGAAGAAGAGGCCTGAGGACCAGGCCTGTTACCCAGAGGATCCGCTACCTGGGAGGGTGGGCAGACCCTGTAGCAGCAGCAGCAGCAGCGTCCAGGGAGATGGCGCTCGCAGAAGGGAGGGCACATTCCCCGTGGCCGAAGTGCTGGGCATCTAGCTGGGTTGGATGCGGCACAGAGCAATAAGCCGTCCAGGCCCCTGGCGACTGTGGCGGGACAACGGGCGTTGGCTTAGATGGAGCAGAGTGAGGGGCCTCCATGGGTGTTATATTAGCTCTGCAGAAAAGTCAGTGAAACTCACGGAACTATGCCGAGGGCTGCAAGGACCCTCAAATCACGAGTTCTGCAGAGCTGAGGGCTGAGGGACATTTTCTAATACTCCAGGAGCACACAGAACTGGGGCAGACGCCGCCTGAAATTAACACAGAGGGTCAGCTATGACCCACCCCAGCCATCCACACACAGCTGAGGCCAGCACAGCAAATTCAGTCAAAGCATTAACTATGCATCGCGTGGTAAACTCAGCTTCTCTCAGTATCACATGTTTCAGTAATGGCCTTAAGACTGAAAGCGATCATCGTACCGGTAAGAGGAACTGTAGACCGAAGTAAAATCGGTCAAGTCTGCAGATGAATTATAAATAGGGAAAAGCCCTTTAGCTCACACCACTGGATCATCGTAATTGCCACTTGTCACAGGACAAGACATTCTTGTGTGGGACGTAACCTACACAAGAAACTGAAAGTCTGAAGTAACGGAACGCAGCTGGACTCCAGGCTGACCGTGACCGTTCACCTGGAGAGGAAGCTTCAGGGTTTCGGGATCGGGTCTCAAGTGGACCAAGGGCACGTTAGCCTCAGCCTCCGTATCTGTAACATGGAGAAAACGATGGTGCCTCCATCCCGCAGGTTACATGAGGGCTGACTGTTCATTGATTCACTCCGCGGGCTAAAACTGAGTGTTGATGCCAATTTATCGTCGGTCATCTTATCCATGGGATTTTGACCCTACTGCCCCGACTGACGGAACCTCGCCACATCTCCAATTCCTTGTGCTGTTGAGCACCTCCGTCCATCCAGGATTTGCTGGGAGCTCCTAGGTGTCAGGCGATGTCCTATGCGTCCGATGCACCTTTCACGGAGCTGAAGTGCCAGCAGGTGGAGGTGGGCAGTCGGCAAACCGCCACATGAGCAAGCAGGCAAGTTTTGGCATCAGTAAATGGGGCGACGTGCCCTCTGTCTGGGCATGGAGTGGCGTCTGGTCTGAGGGAGACTCAATGAGAGAAATGAACCAGTTTTGCAACAACCCGGGGACCAGGCATTGTCGATGAGGGTCCCCGAGAGGGAACTGGCTTTGGCACGGTCCAGGGAGAGGAGGGAGCAGCTGCAGCGTGGGGAGCAGCTGCAGTGTGGGGAGCAGCTGCAGCGTGGGGAGCAGCAGAGGTGGTTCGGCTCAAAGGAGGCCACGCCTGCACTCCGGGCCCCAGTCCGGACACGCTGCAGCAGCAGATTTGTGCTCAGAGTCGTTTCTACCATCGTCGTGGCCACTCACAGCCTGTTCTCACACCGCCCCACTCCTTGCTGTGTTGCTGGGACTTTGCTGACACGAGACGCTCCGTAAGTGTCTGCTGAGTGAATGGAGTGAATGGACGCAGGGATTTGTGAATGAGCTCTTGCTCCCAGTCTCCAGGAAGCACACGTCTCCCGGGAGAGCCTGTGGTTGCCAGCAGACAGCATGGGTCCTGGCTTGGCTGTCTTTTGCCTTTTTAAACTGTGTCTCTGCTCAGCTCCCAGAGATGAGGGCTGCAGCGTGAGCTCAGGATCCCTGGCTTCTGGGAGGAGAGCCCTGGGCAGTTTCATCACTCATTCATCATTCACCCTTGCATTTATTTCTCCGATTTAACAAATGCTTTCCCTTTCACATGACCTCACATGCTTCTCCCGACCGCCATGCAGGGCAGGAGGACAGGTGGAGCTGCCTGGGAGAAAGGTGCCCCTGGACAAGGTGCTGGGATGTGGGTCCGATATCAGACGCCTGAATGTCCAGCACCTTCTCAGGGGTGGTCAGGTCTGGAGGTGAGGCTGATCCCACAAAGGAATCTCCAAGTACTGCAAAATATGGCAAAATGCACCAGTATTTCAGGAAGAATAAACTCCTGCCTCACATTGCACATCAAGAAAAACAACATTATAGGATCGAGGAAGCTGAGGATGAAAGCACAGAGAGGCAGGGAGGAGACCCCCAGACGGTGGGGAGGGGCATTTCCGGGACCTGGACTGAAGGAAGAGGCTCCAGGCAGGTGTCTCCAAGGGGAAAATGGAATCAGAAGTTCCCCAGAGGACTGAGACTTTCCTGAGAGGAATTTTACGGCTCCAGCAGGGAACGGGGGAGCCAAGGAATGATGGGTACACAGATAAGGAAGACAACAAGTAAATAAAAAAGGCAATCAGCTCCAGGGAAAGGAAGAGCTGTACAGAAACGGGAAATGCTGCGGTTACAGAGCTCAAGGAGTTCAGCAGAAGTGTAGGTGCTGGTGAGGACAGAGGGGAGTTCCACATGGGACGTGGCGTCCGAGGCCACCCAAGCAGTGGTGTCAAGCAGAGAGTGAGTAAGGGAATTGGGGCGCAGTGGCGTCGTCTGGCTTCCAGGTCTAAATCCGGGAGTTACCACGCAGAGGTGGTGCTGACACCCACGCATCTACTCGAGGGCACGAGACAGTGAGTGTCGACTGAAAGGGATGCGGCTTGAGGACTGAGTCTTGGGGTCACCTGTGATGTGTAGGGGGGCTGGTGTGCAGAAGGAAACCAGGAGAGCGTGGTGTCCTTGGAGGCCATAAACTCAAACTGGGCCCCTGGGTCAAAGAAAATAAGGACAGAGGACTACCCACTGGACTGTAAGCCCACACCTGGGTGACATTAACAAAAGCCACTTGCTGAGGGTGGGGTCCCGTGACGGCAGGTTCAAGAAAGAGCCGGGGTTGCAGAAAGACAGAAGAGGTTGCTTCTTTGAGACGCCTCCACGGCACCCTCATCAGAATCATCTTTGGGCCTTGGATAGTCCAAAGACGACTGGTGACTTTTATCTTGGTAGGGGGATGAGGGCCAGTCTTCAGCTGATCCATGCCTCATGGTGGAGGCACCACTGCCTGGTGGGGCAAGCGCTCCAGCTCTGTGCCTCAGGCCCAAATTCAACCCCTGTCCCGTCCCTGGCTGCAACCCAGCCACCCGGCCTTCCTCCTCTTCCCTGGATACTCTGGGCTGGTTCCCAAGGGGACCCGTGTGTGCACTGCTCCCTAACCCCTGCACACTTCCGCCCCAGCCCTCGGCGTGGTGGGCGTCATCTGCTCCTTGAACTGTCACCTGTATCTAAAGTCACGGCCCCGTCAACCTGCCACTCCATCCTCTCAACTCCCTTCACTCCTCGCCATCATCTGGGCTTACTCGCTTTTTCATTGACTTGTTCACCTTTCTTTCTTAGCCTGGGAGGGCAGAGCTGTGTCCCACTCGCGGCTGTGTTCCTGCTTCTGGAACAGCAGCTGAGTGGCTGCTTGGAGGGGCAGACGGCCGACACTTGGTGAATGACAGCACGAGGGAGCCGGTCACAAGTGCAGCGCAATGACCACCCACGGCGGAAACTGAACGCGAAGATGCACTCCGGAAAGAAGTCCCGGATCTCATTCCACTCAAGAGTTGGCCTTTCTCTTCTCACGCTAAAAACGACATCAAAGCCTCTAGAAATTACAAAATTGGCCCATTCATATTTCATCCAGTTTCTCTCCCTCTGCCCCCCGCCCCACTGATGAAGCATCAGTGTATCCAAAATAGAGACAACGGTGAGTCCCAAGGATAAAGAGCTCCAAGAGAATGGGACAGTACACAAAAGAGATCACGGACGCAGAATAACGGAGTCGGTTCCAGGTCATTCTCCTTGGCATCAAATGCTTAGTAAATATAACTCCAGGCTCCTAGAGAATGTTCTGTTGAGAGGAGACATCCTGTCCCTTCCTGGACAGTCTCTGTGTTTCTACAGACTGATTATCTGTCTCAGACGGTCCCCGCCTGGGGACGTGGCTTCTGGAGTGGCGATGAATGAATGCAGCTACCATCAGGCGTCGCCCAGCCACGGGAAAGGTCCTTGAGACATGGCAGGAGAAGATAAGAGTAATATTCCTGCCTGTGTCCCAGCAATATCCCTTGCGGATAACATCTAATGAAATATTGCTGCTCCGGGTACCTGCCACCTTATTATGACAGGTAATAAGGGCTGTGAAGGTCCCATCAGCGCTGGCTTAATGAAATCTATCCTTAATACGATCTCGTGCTAAATGATTAGAGAAATGGCATCAGAACTTATCTACCTGTTCCAACAAGCTCTGCTAATAAACTCTGGAGAAGAAACACTGCTCTGACAGATTCCTATCGCCACCCAGGCTGGGTGAATGACTGTGAGTCCTTTATTTTGAGATCCAAGGCCTGGAGAAGCTGTCAGATGGGTGGAGGGGCCACAGAGGGCAGAGGAGTGGCCCATCCCAGCTGGCGCCGGGCGGGAGGCTGCAGACCAGCCAGCTGCACTCTGGCCATAGGGGTGGCTGCCCTGCCAGGAGGAGAGGGCAGGACTGGGTGGGGACACTGGGCTCCGGAAGGAAATGAGATGGGAACTGTTCACAAGTCCCCACCTTCTGATTTCTTCCTGGGGGCACCCCAAGCCCATAGGCTCCAGGAGTACCACCCTCCTAGCTATTTGGCTAGAGACAGCAGGACCGTGGCTGAGGACTGGAGTGGGGGTGAGGTTACCTGTCTCAGCCCCCAGACCCATCACAGGTGCCCAGGAGGTAAAAATCCCAAACCACTCAGTCCTTCCTTCCCTCCTTCCCTGGTGCCTCTCTCCTTTCTCTCCTGATTTCTTTTCCTTTCTGTCTTATCTTCCCTTTTTCCTTTCTTACTGGGATCATGCTATAAATACTGCTCTGCAATTCAGTTTTCTCACTTGATAACACGTCATGCAAACAGCCTCAAGACAGCAGAATCACACCACCATGATCCTTTTCACTGACATCACATGGCGCCTGGTGTGGCTGGACCACGGTGCACACGCCATCACCCTTAGGTGGGCATCAGTTGGGTCCAATCCCCATCCCCACTGCCACACAGCAGCACTGCAAGAAAACAGAACTCCTTTGGAACTGGTTCCTGTATTCCTTGCAGGGCATCGTCCAGGATGGAGGTCCAGGATGGAGGTGGCAGGGTCACCCTCTGTGTGCACTTTTAGTTTAAACGGATGCTGCACGTTGCTTTTCCCAGACGTGAAAGCAATTCATACCCTGCCAGCCATCTCTATGCATGTGCTTTTCCTACAGCCTCACCAGCATCAGAGGTTAGAGCTTTGCATCCGCTTTTGCTTTATAAAACATGAACACAGGTCTACTTAAGAAACACCAGAGCAGGAAAGCAGAAATGACTCTGAATCCTTCTGTGCAAGGAGAGAGAGGAAGAGGCCTGGGAGCCGAGGCTGCAGGTCGGCTGTTCCACCACACCGGGGGTCCCCGGCCCACCCGCAGACTCCTTGCCTCACATGCCGCACCCGGCTGCCTGCCACTTACCTTCTGCAGAAGGTCAATTTCCTGCTGCTTGGCGCTGAGAACAGCCAGGGCCTGCTCATGCTCCAACTCCAGCTGCTGCCGCCGTTCAGCCGCCTCTCGCATATGCTGTGGGGACAGAGAGAGGCCTGGCTGAGCAGGGCAGCCTGTGCCCACGGGCGTGCATCCTATACCCTGCACCGAGCGGGCTCTGACTCAGCCCAGTCACTCCAGAGCAGCCCTTCGCCACCCCGTGGGGCACCCACCTCCGTGCTTCCAGAGGCGGCCCTCCCGATGGGGGAGCCGTGACATGAACAAACCCTCCACCTGCCACTTCTCCTCCTCAGGTTCCGAATGCAGCCAGCATTTGAGCAGAACCCTGTTCTCATGCAAAGGTGACTTTCCTCTTTTTGCTTGTTTTGAAAAATTTAATCTCCCTCCTCTGCCTTTTTTGCCCAGGTCCTTTGTATGTAACAGCAAAGGCTTACTGATGTTGTCCTATGTGCCCAGCACTGGTTCAAGGTTTTATCTGCATTTAAGTCATATATCCCCATCATAAGCCTACGAGGTAGGTTCTGTAAGTAGCCTCATTCTACAGAGAGGGAAACTGAGGCACAGGAAGTCATCTTTGCCATCACACACCTGGGAAGTGGACACCCGTTCGGAATGCAAACCCAGAGTCCACACCCTCCCGGGTGCTTCCAAACCTCAGGCTCTGGTCCTGACTGCCGACTCCGGTGAACCAGAGCACTCAGACCCAGGAGTCCAAATTCCTTCACCTACCCCCTCTGGAAAGGTTGCAAGGTGGCCCCCATCGGCCAGGCCCATTTTCTGGAGCAGAGAGCAGGAGCCGTATTCCTGGCTCTGTCCCCTCCTCCTGACAATCTGTCTGTCCTGCTTGGAGGGACAGCGCTACATCCCCAGTGCCAGGGTTTGACTCTCACCTACTCGCCCTCGGTGTGCCCGTCCCTCCCCTCTGACGGGTCTCACGGGCCCAGAGTCACCATCGCATGGGAAATGACATGGGGTAGAAAAGGCCACAGCGGGCGGGCAGTCACACTGGGAACAGTCACAGAAAACATTTCCTGGGCCCCCCAAGCCACTCCTGGGGGCTTGGACAACCAGCTACAAAATGCTGCAATTTCACTGTCATTTCCTTTCATTCATATGTGTGTGTGTGTGTGTGTGTGTGTGTGGTGTGACTTCGTGGTCAACATTTTAAAATCTGGGTCTTTTATATAAAAGTCCAGATTCTTTCAAAAATGGGAAGAGTTGGCCATGCATGCCTCCAGAAAAGGACTGAGAAGGCAGTGGGAGCTGCCCCTTCTGAGGGTGCACACCCCCGATGGCCGCTGCCCCACGGACTTGCCCCCCTGCATCCCCTGACATCCGAGGGCCACACAGATGACCCAGGTCCTGAAGCAAGCGGGTGCCTGGCCCAGCGGGGCATGGGGAACTTCCCTCCTGAGCTGGAACTGGTTGGTCATTTATTCATTATTTTAATGTATTTATTATTTTACAATTCTATTGATTTTTAGTCTTTTACTCATTTTTATTTATTTTTTATTTTTATTTCTTTGAGTTGGAGTCTTGCTCTGTCGCCCAGGCTGGAGTGCAGTGGCAGGATCTTGGCACACTGTAGCCTCTGCCTCCTGGATTCAAGCTATTCTCGGGCCTCAGCCTCCCTACCAGCTGGGATTACAGGTGCCCACCACCATGCCTGGCTAATTTTTGTATTTTTAGTAGAGACGGGGTTTCACCATGTTGGTCAGGCTGGTCTCAAACTCCTGACCTCAGGGGATCCACCTGCCTAGGCCTCCCAAAGTGCTGGGATTACAGGCATGAACCACCGTGCCCTACCACCTTTTACTCATTTTTATTTAGTTTCGGAGTCTTAAAGGCCTGTAGCCTTCGCAAGTCATGAGGTCGGACACAAAAGAAGATTAGCGTGGTTTCCTGAGGCCGCTGCCGACTCAGCCTAAGCTGGAAAGAGGAGCCTGGCAGTGGGGAGGCGAGGGAGTCCCTGCTGAGACCGGCAGGCGGTGAGGGCAGGGGGCACCCAGGCTCTGGGGGAGGGGTGTGGGGCCCCGCGGGAAGAGGCAGACAGGCCGATTACAAAGGTAGCCCTACCTGCTGCCACCGAAAGCTCCTTTCTGCTGGGAAATACCTTGAAACGGAATCACTTTAACTGAGGATGGGGAAGGCCTCCACTTTTCATTCTGCAAAGCGCTGTGGTTGGTGGGATATTTTGTTTGTGTTTAAAAAGTGAAGTCCTCCTCCCGGCCCATGTTTCAGACCCGGAGGCCTCACGTGCCGGTTCATCCACCTTTTTCAGCTGAACAACCTCGACATCCTCTCTGCTGTCTCCAGAAGAGGCTTCCAGTGAACTCGGAAGCTGTAATGACCCTGCACCCCCACAGACATCTGGGGGTTTCACTGCTGCTATGGGAACTCTCACAAGAACCCGGGATCCTGAGGAAATGGAATTCCCCAGAACATGAACCAACCCCAGGAAACACGGACGCCGCGGTCAGTGGCCATCGCCGGTTCACGCTGGGGCCAGATGGGTCCCAGGGAAACACCGTGCTTGTATCTTCCCACGTTCACTCCAGTTCCGAGCCCGGGCAGGCCTGGCCCTCCCAGGAGGGAGCCCTGGGTATTCGCTGCACAGTCCTCCCGAGATCCACCTTGGCACAAGGCTCTCCCTGCCCCGCTGGGCCGTCAGCGCATTTGGGCCTCGCCATTTCTAATGGTGTCTTTCCAAGAGCCTCAGCTTCCCCCCAGCCTGCCACCAGTTCACTGTGAGTGCAAACCAGCGGCACACATTGCAGGGTGTTTTTAGGAGGACGGGGACAAGCTACCAAGACGGACAAACCGACAAAGCCCTGAGAGATGCCAGGAATTCCCCGGGCTCCTGAGAAGCTCTGGGAACTCTTCCCCAAACCCTGCTGCCACGTTGGTGCAGTGTGGCTTTCCTCTGGGGTCGGGTTTCCTCATGAGGGTCCCGGAGGTCCTCAGGATGGCCAGTCTCTGCAGACCCGAATGAGGCCCTCCGTGTGGGGCTTCCAGCTGCAGACAGGACTATTTCTACTCCATTTATTCATTCATTGCTTCTCCCAGATATTCGTTCATCGGACTGACATTTATTGAGCACCTACTAGATGCCAAGAAGCTGGGGACACGGAACAGGACAGCCAAGTCTTCATGCGAGAACACCCCAAGGGTGGGGGCAGAGCATGAAGGCAGATGGATGAAACGAGAAGGGTCCGAGTGTGGCATGGAGGGGGCGGAAGCACCCAAATGACATCCGAGGTCCTCGACTTCCAGGAGTGGCCATTTCCTACATCCCAACACCTGCCTCAATCTGATATGAGGAGATTTCAGCCACATTCCACCAGGAGAACTCGCTCACTCACTCACTCAACAAATATTTAACAAGCACTATGTTTTGTGTCAGGCATCCTGCTGGATTCTGAAGGCTACAGCAACGCAAAACAACAGCAAAACAAAACCGGCTCTCTTGGAGCTCACATTCTGCAGGGGAGGGGACAGACCTCATCCAAATACACCAACTGTGTGTGTGGACACGGGTCAGCAGTCCTAAGCATGGTGACCGCGGGGTCAGGCAGTCCTAAGAACCGTGGAGTCGGGTGGTCCTAAGGGTTATGAACAAATAAAGCCCAGTTCACAAATGCATGCACCTACTATGCAGCCACAAAAATTATAAAAAATTAAATAAAAGGGGAAAAATAGAAAAAATAAACTGTTTAAAAATATACTTTTGGCAGGACGCGGTGGCTCAAACCTGTAATCCCAGCACTTTGGGAGGCC